AAGGTCTACACTTTTCGCGGTTGTTGAATTGTTTACTATGCGCTCTTTAAAAGGTCACGTTGGAAATACAATATGGCGACCTTGGGCGAAAATTAGGACTGACGTCATCAGCTCCGTTGGAATGGATTCAAAATATTCTCGTGCGATTTTTTTCACAGGATAAAGGAAAATTTGGGGGCGGAATTAGTCCATTCAGGCGTAATTGAGTCTCAGCATGGTGGCCAAATTAAAGAAGCTCACCCATTTACAAAAATCACACACGACTAACCAATCCATGCTGGTCGGTAAGTCGAAATGACCACCTGGGAGGAAGCTTGTCTAAGACATCGATACCAATCGAAAGTTAGCTTCGCTGTAGAAGCATAAAGATGAGATTAGATGCTGCATGCATGCGTATTCTTAGGCCCTACAGCTTCCGGATAACCGGATGTCATTTCACATAGAGATCGTGAACCTGGGGAGCTCTCATTCTGTCCAAAGAACACGACTTTGCTGACCACAGTTACAATTAGCTGGTTAGTTGGATTGATGAATCGTGTCGGAAGGTTCCCTTTAAACCTATAATAACACCCTAGAAGGTTTTAAACAAGTTACGTCTGTCATATCACGATAATACCTACCATTACAGGGAATTAAAACCATTCAATTAAAAGCGGATATACCGGATTTAAAAGTTAATCAGGCCTCCGTCGATGTAATTTCAGTGTTTCCTGTATTGACCGAATGAGAAAAAACAAAATGTGTATACGTCACTTCTAAACGGTACACTAGTAGGCGTAAAGGGACGGCAGTCCACATCGACTTGAAGCTCGATATCACTGAAATTTTGGGGCATGTTAATGCATAGTTTGGTGAGGGTTGTTAAGGGTTGGAAGGGAGGGGCGTCTTTCTGACTTAGTAGTGCAAAATTATTTTGTGAAATCATGCCCATGAGATTGGAATGCCAAAGATCACAGCACTGGCAAGTCATAACTTCATAACGAATCCCTACACAAACGTCTTCCATAGAAAAAACCTTTGGCAGTAAATGTTCCCCTAAATCATAGCAAAATCGAGGACGATCTCTTCCTTGGTCTATGTCACGGCACGTGTACATCTTCCAATGGGTTTGGACTTTGAGCACATGGATAATCCTAGTATGGCTCTTGCAAGTCTTCAGTGTAGTTGCATCAGCCTGTATAGTATCAAACGTCCACACCACCATGACTCAGCAACTTTGACAATTGACCATTAAACACGTGGTACATGAATCAATTGAGTCAGTCGGTCGTTCATTTTAATAACCAAAATCACCAAAAATCAACATACAATGTACATTTAATTATAGTCAATCTAACGTCTCATTTGCATTCTAAAAAGTGACATGGGTAGCTAAAGTACAGGTCTATAGCTACAGGAGAGCAACGGGTGGGGATTGCCCCGCTGAAAAATCCTGAAACTAAACACCATACACCATTGCCCCTCCGGATATATTACTTGCCCCTCCAAACAATCAAGTTTGGCTAACGGCCTGCTTAAGTAATGTTCTATCTGCTGGTAAAAGGATTCATCAAGGGGCATTAGATTTTCGGTGGAAACAGTTCCCCCGAGCCCTTGCTGGATTCTTTTGTCGTATAAGATATTCGGTTGCGCCACTTTAGATCTGTTGTCTATATCCCTCTGAATTACATACAAGAAAATGTCAATAATTCAAGTTAGTTTTTGTGACAATCGCGATCTTATTAACCTCGTTAATTTGGCTGTGTCAACAAAAAATTAGTCCAACACCAACAATTTTAGGAATTTCAAATTTTATCTCGTTATAAAATTGTAAACATTTGGCAGACGAGAAGCATTTGTATTATTTAATTTGTTGTAAGGTCAATTTCAAGATGGCGCCGACGAGTGACCATGAAGGCCATCGTTGCCATGAAGAAGAGCTATAAGATTTCTTGTTCTAGAAGCGTCATCTGAAAGGGGTTGGTGTGGCCGAACAATCAATGGGTCCTTTTGGGCAGCGGTGGAAAAACTTCTGGACGTTTCTCGAGTCTCATTACAAAAGTCTTCTTGGTCTAGTCCGGAAACTCTCGGTAGTATCCGTAAAGCTGAGCGCTAGCAGAACTGTAAATGTTGGTTACTCTCAACAGAGAACACTAGAAAGGACGTAAAAATGACACAAATGGTGACTGAAAATCTCCGGAATTTGTCGGAGGAATTTCAAGCAGGCACCTGATACCATTGTCGAGATCCTTGACGACATTCCTGATTGACATTTCATCATCATCGTCTACAATAAGCGGATTCTGTCAGTAAAATCACTGGTATCTCTTGACGAAGGTGGGGCTATGTTTTGAAATACAAGAACATTCCTTAAACGACTTTTTAAGACGGGTAGATGTCAAGTTGTATTATCTTAGAAGATTACTACCAATTTTGATAAAGTGCTCCTCACATTATTGCGATCACCAGTTGGGTATGGTTGTGATTTGGAATAGAGGTCATAAAGAGCGAACACAACTCTCATGACCACTTTTATTATTCGCAACCATGTCCAACTGGTAATCACTATGGTAATCGCTGGGGCACCCTATTCAAAGAAATTCGAGAGGATTTCTAGCCACTGTATGAGTTATCAGCCATGGATATGAGTTGAATTCGCCCCCTTGCTGTTCCATAGGACATGACATACGACAAAGAAGAATCCTAACAACTGCTAACGATCCTTACTGTAAATTTCCACTGTAAGCAGCCGGACAAGTGGAACTCTTACAAGACCAGGAAAAGTCTGACTTTGTGCCTAAATAAGGCTGTCTGGAATGTTCGGCTTAAAGCGACATTGACCCACTCACAATGTCAGTCAGTCACCCCTCTGTAATACTGACTGATCGATTGATCACAAAAAATTGATGGTAAACTATGGTGTTCAGTGGTATGCAATGGAAATCTGGTTCAGACCCATTCTAGATCATTGTAGAAACGGTGGAAATGAAAGACGTGTATGTACCGTACATACAAATACCTAAAAGGGAGCTCAAAAGAAACGATTGTTACTGAACCTTCGTTAACCAGGCCTGATATGCACCTTCAAGGCCGTTTGATGACTCATACCTTTCGAAGAATCCATTTACTAGAGCGAAACCAAAAATAACTTTTCCGAGACAGATAAATCAAGTTTCGCCAGAGAAAAAAAAATGTCGCCTAATGAATCCTTGCCATTTGATTTAAGGTTTTCTTTCTGGCTGTTTCTAAAACTGGCCCAATCGATAGATAAAGAAAAATAACCCGCCACTGACGCAGACGTCCGCCCAAGATTCTAGAAGGTTCGGACTGGTAATATATGTTTCTTCCAGTTGACCTTCCATGAGAGATGAGAGAGGGGTGTACGGAGGGGCTATAGATGGGAGAGAGGGGGCACGGTATGATGGAGCAAAATGTGTGTTTAAAATAAAAAGCGTTACATGAAAGAGGGGTGTATTGCTGGTTTTTGGAGAGGAGGGGTCATGGATGTCGAGAAGAACGTTGGAACAGCACAACAAATGCATGTTATGTGCAGAAAAAAGTGGCCATGTTAGAGTACAGGGGTGATCTTTGCTTAGACAAATAATCGATGAGTTTGTCGCAGATTTCAAAGAAGTGGTCAAGTCGACCTTCTAGAATTTTCTTGATAATGCACGCGTATTCTTCAAAGATGGGGCTACGGTCCACAAATGTAATACAGAAGAGTTAATTTTATGACGATAGTTTTCGTCCGGATAAAAATAATTATATTTTAATTACATATTCATCACAGTACCTCGTAATAATATTTACATTCATAGAAGTGACCACAATGACGAATTCGCGTGAGGTGGTTGACGATCTATTGTGTCATAACCAAAATAAAATACAGAAATAAGCCTTTCTCACAAACATACTTTAGAAACGAAACATGAACAATAAAACAAAAAAAGCGTACAACTAACTTCAAACGCACTGATCACAACCGATGAGTAAAACAGACATTTAAAAGCGGGAAAAGGTGAAGTAAAGCGCGGGAAAATTTGGCATTAAGCGCGGGAAAAGATGAACATAAGCGCGGGAAAGGTGACGTTAAGCGCGGAAAAAGCTGCGGTAAATCCCGGGAAAAGATGACGTTAAGCGCGGGAAAATGGTATAAGTAAAGCCATAGAATACTCAGGTAGATGACAAAAGACACAAGACAAATTCAATTTATAAAAGTCCAGTAATTTCTCTCTCCCTGAGATCATGATAAGATAAGCATGAGAGATATTTGAAAGATGCAGTCTCGAATACCAAACATCCAGTTTAAGTAGGGAAGTGTTTACTTTCACAATATCACACACTGACCTTGACGGGTCAGGACAAGCTCCTTGTTTACTTTGGGTCAAGGTTATACAGGCCTGGGGTTAGAGCAGGGGATGTAATGTACTGACTTGAAAAAACAGGGTCACCCTCTAGAACCCTAGTTCTCCCAACCTGGGGGAGGGGATGGTTTTCTACATCATCAGCAGGTTTGTTTTCTGACTCCTTTTCGCTCTATGGAAAGAAGCCAGAGAAGAGCTTGAAGACACCATTAATGGAGGGCCGAACGACGAATATAGCTGCATATATCCATTGGGCAATAGCTTTACTAATATCTTCCGCTCACGGTGGGGATTTTCCGATAATATTCATTGCTACATGAATTGCTCTAGATGATGAAAGGACTATAGCAATATCGTCCTATACATATAGTGTAAAAACCTGGTATCAATAGTCACAAGTCATGTGACAGAGATGACATCATATTTTCAAACGGTGGCCTCGAAATGAGCAAATTATCAATATGAATAGTCTTTGTTAAACCAGACTTAACGAAACTTGATGAACGGGACTACAAAGTAAGGTAGAAGCGCGGTATAAAAGCTCGACTCGATCGGTTCACCAGCAGATACACAATACTTTCACGACAAGATATTACAAACCGCTATTCTAAAGACGAATCACTAAACCAAACGGACTTATTACCAAGAGTGAAACACATGATCGAGAGAAAACTTCATCGAAAAGCATCCAAGAATTTAAATAGAAAAAGTAAGTTAAATTTTCTAAGATTCATTTATTTAAATTTGCATACTTTGGAAGTTTGAAGAGTAAATTCTTGTATATTGCAATGACAATAGAATGTGTTTACTTACAATTTTTGACAGGGTTAAATACATCTTTCATGGGATGATGAAATTTAACTTGCCGTTAATATAGTGTTCAAGCCTGAAAAATAAAATTAAATTTAATTCTTACTTTCAAAGTATGCAAATTTGGTTGACCATTTGTTATATTTTGTAAGATTTGGATAAGGCAGTGTCAATTTCACTGAATTGTTGGTTGTACTGGGCCATAATGCTTACAAAAGGACACGGTGAACTACTTGAATATCATTCTTAAATTTATATATATCGGAAATTAGCTTGAATATATAAAAAATTCCTCGATTGCCTCATGTTAGGGATGACACAAAGAGCAAATGGTGCTCGATACCCAGTCATCACCAGTTTCAGTTCAAATTGATACTGCTTTATCTTGGGGGAACTACCTAAATACAATATGATAATTATCGGAAAAACCCTGGTCATTGTAAAACTAAGTTGATAATAGCAACCGTTAAGTCATGGAAAGTTCTAGAGCAACATTATGTAGAGATCAATAAGCGCACGCACACGTGTAAAATTCCATACACGCCAGCGGTGAAGCGGTTTATATACGATAATTTTAACGATATAGACCATTTAGGAGCCAAAACTTTAATGATTTTCGTTTATAATCGAATCCGTATTGATCTGAACAATTTTTACGATGAACCTGCTTATACATAGGGACAAAATGTGGACTAGGTACGGTAGATAACTTTAAGGATTGAGTGCTATAAAACGAACTGTTTTTGGTTACAATTAAAAGTATTGTAGCGCTTCAATAGTTCATGTATTGGTTATTCCATTGTATAATATTAAAAAATGCTCATTCTTCTTAAAATTTTGTTTAATATTATAAGGAGTCATTCAACTCAGCCCTCTAAACTGCTCATGCAAGTGATGTTATTGAGAATCGTCTTACAACAAATAAACAAGAACACAAGTGCACTAATATCCGGGCATTAAAAAATCAGAACACAATGTTCCAGTTCTTTGCTGGTTGAGGTGTCAAATTTCTGACATTTTCTGCAGCTGGAAGAAATTTCGTGCCAAGACGTGAACTTTACTGTTTATCTGAAGGTGGAAAACTCGTGCGTGGGGATTTCCCCAAATCTCAGCCATATTCACCATTCGGCACTTGAGGGCATTCAATAACTTCATTGTCCTTGTCAACTCGTGCGAATCTTCTTGACAATTTTGATATGAATGTTTTTGAATGAAATGCCTTTTGTTACAGTATTCATTTACATGTTCACAATGGCTAGCGATATTATCTGTAAGCTCAATAGCCATTCTGTATGGACCATAACTGGGGCGTATCTGATTGGGGTCTTTCAAGCAATTTTTCTGTAATATTTCGCATTGTTACGATATAAAGGAGCGGCCTTCAATTTTCAATAAAAATGGACAAAACGAAGTAATAAAGTTTTTATGGCAGTTTAAATATCGTTAGGGCAGTCGGGTGGATCAGAAAGGGTACTTGTTAATGATCCTGCCCTTTCTGAGGCCACTGTCTATGTTCTGGCATTGAAGTCACATCCATCGATTCAGAAATGATTCTAATTTACATGCATTTGTAAAACTAAGTGAATCAGGACATTGCCATGATAAAGAACATATTTTTAACCGATCCTTAAAGAATTTGATAACATTGGCAAAGTTTTTAATAAAGAATTTTAAACATGGACGGAAAATTCCCCACAAGTGAAAATGCAATGTAGGTGAAAGCAACTCGCTCTGGCGTTTAGGTCAGTGTTATAAATAAATAAAACAACATATAGTATACGAAAAACAATAACAACTACTGAATATTTTAAATTTTTGGCTGAAAATATAAAGTTCGATCTTTTCGATGTGGTTGCCAGCTTTGTAAGTATCTTAGCCAACAGTACACACTCCTGAGTACATCGGAGCATTTATATCCACCAAGGTATAAAAGCTCATACCATATTCGGATCATATTCACAGCATAAAGGCCATTGTGTGGGATATGAGATAGGTAAAAGAAATACAATCAAACGCCCTGGGCTCCATTGTATAGAATACTTTCAGATATTAAGCCATTGAAAAATTGCAGTAGCAGCGCTTTTGTGATAACTGTCATTGTCAAGGAAGAATGCGTGCTCGCGACAGGCAGTCAATCGATCTGAATAGATTGACCCGGTCACCTAAAACTGGTTTTAACTCGAACGTTCGAATGAGTAATACCAATGTTTTTTCGCGAACATCTGGCTTGCTCGTCAGACTTGATGACTTTATATTTGAAAAACGCATAGAGCTGCAAAGCTGTACAAAATGGTTCATGTGGTAGTTATCGTGTTCAATGCGAGCTTTCATTGATCATTATTGATGATGCATCCAAAGGATTTCTACCTCTTGGACAAACGTTTTTCCTTTGACTCAAATTACTGGTATATATGGACAGATAGTGCTGCTACATATTCAGAAGCTCTGCCGCCAAAATTTAAACTGTTTCTGCAAAAGTATGACTTCATTTATAGCCAATGCCCCAACAAAGTTCTCGGAACAGTTAGCCATGCAACTAGATGTAAACATTCAAATCAATAGGAAACCAATAAATCTAATTTAATCTAAAATTATGTATATGGTATCTGATGTAATACCATTTTATTGATTAGGGCTTGTGGTTCAGCTTGGTTCCCATTGGATAAAAATGATCTCATTGGATCGATATTTTCAAGGATTGAAATTGAATTCTCACTGCAGTTATTATTGGTATTGAATATCCTAATAAGGAGTGTTCAAATTTATGAATGAATGAGTAAACTGGCCTTGTGGACTCCTTAAGGTTATCACGACATGGGAGTAATGACGTCATCAATTGAAATCATCCAACCTTGAATAAAACCATCAATTTAGTTACATCAGCCCCATTATGTTAAATTACGGGGCAATTGTCGTCAAATTGGTTACTTTTTTGTCCATTGATCATTTGGAACGTGAAAGATACTCCGAGTTATTTTGCTATGACGTAAACTCTACCTGTGACGTATGCCGGTAAAACTGTGGCCATGGTTACGTCACCTCTTTTGCAGCCGGTAAAAATTGATGGGTTCAAAAGGTGAAACATAATCAGCCATTTCTTCTCGAGATTGCATCAGGTTCGCTAGAAATCCACGTGAGGCTGACCACGTACTAGTCTCCAAATTTGAAATTTAAAAATTATACACACGTCACTTAATGGACAATTAGATCATAGCTCACGTGCAAAACGTCAGACTTGAAAAAATATCTATTTATAAATGAAATCATCCTTTGTTTTGGCATGATAATATAAATAATATTAAAATATATTTTGAATTAGATGGACATATTCAAATAATGACGGAAATGAAATGCACAATATGCATTTAAAACTATAATAAAGTTGAAACGTCATAATATAATTATGGCATTTGAAGACATTGTACAAATAATATTTATGTTTCAAGCAAAAATATGGCAGCCTCAAACGATGAGGTAATCATTTTTTAAGTATTTTTTTTTTTTAATTTGCTGCCCAAATGCTGTTGTTTTTTTTACATTAAAATAAATATTTATTTAATTTACACAATACACGATTTAAAACTTGTTAAATGTATTTGATAAATGCATTCATGACCCGGGGCGTTTATCAGGGGAAGTTAAGACAGATACAATCAGAGCTTAATGTCGAGGGCAATTTCAATTTGTGACGTACATTTTTTATGCTTTTGCTCAAGGGTGACGATAAGATGTGATCAAAGGAAAAAATATCGAAACGCCCTTTTATTTTCATGATATGCTAGCGTAAATAATTAGTCACATTAAGAGCTTGACGAATATTATTGCCATATTAGGCGATGTACCCCAACAAAGGTCAAATACTTGGAAAGTCCCTTTCTTGTTGACGTGGACACGCTTGGTTACCACAAAAACCGCAGACGACTTTTTCCCGCCTTTTATTGACAATAGTTAATGGCCTATAGTTCTATTGAACTAAGATCGTTTAACAAGCTACTGAAATACCGATCTATTATATTCACCTCGTTTGTTCTAATGTAAAACCAGAAATAACCAATCAACTGTCGTCTGCTGACAAATGATTGGATTTCCGTTGATTGAAGAAATGGTTAAAGCGAAGCGACATTAAGAGGATTCTATTTTCCGGTGCACAGTCATAAGACCACTGAAATAGTATTCCAATAAAAAGGTGGCTAAATGCGTTTTGCAGTGATTCTATACAATTGGTAAAAAATTCAAAAATCATAATCGTAATGTGTGGGATGGTCGTCGATATGGAAGCCATTATTTCAGTTTAAAATCTGCTAAATTCTCTAGACTTCGCGGTTGGTTTTTGGCAGGGTGCCGAATATTTTGATTGGCATTCCTACATAATCGAATTCCACCCATTTTTAAGTGATTTTGATACAGACTTTTGATAAGAAGTTATATTTCTCAGCACGACATCAGCATTCCTAAATTCTCGTCACATCTGAGAATGCTAGGTTACGCTTACTGATCTAAAGTTTACATCGTATTATCATACCGCTCTACCACTTTGACATTGTTATTGCAAAATTCTGCCAATTTGAAGCGGTAAAGGTCGACCTAATCGATCAAACAAATAGTTATATTCATAGTAAAACCAAAAAGTCCGGTTATTTTCGCTAACGACGTAATACCAACGGAATCACGACTATATATTCTTAGTCCATAAAATCTAAATCGTGAACAAAAAAAATCATTAAGTAACAGTGACTAATGCCCTAGACAGGTTTATGTTCGGAAATGACGGCAGTCATTCACTAAAAAAAAGATGGGCCTTGAAAGGGAAGATTTGCCATAGTCTTTTTATTGTTTTATTGTACGCAACGTTTCAACATCTTACATCATCATCATCAGTTTATATGGTACACTGTTAGTAAGTGTCACTACATGCAACGTTTCAACAATTTACATTATAATCATCGGTCACAGGGTACAACAGATAAAAGAAAAATATCATAATGCAATATATATATATAAATGTAAACTGTTGAAACGTTGTGTACAATAAAAACAAACAATAATGTAAAAAGGAACATGTATTTTGGATAATTTATTCAAGTTTTTCCTTTCAATATCGAGAGAAAAAATGATAATTAATCCCTTTCTGATCACTTGACCCGCGACTATAAAGGTCAAATAAGGATAAGGGGTGATTAGCATAAAGAATACCTGACAACCGACACGTGCACCGATAGCAACTTAGTCAAAAACACGTGAAAACCGTAACGTTTTTTCTGAGGTCGTCCAAAGGTCAATGATAATTGTCAAACTGTTGAAATTCTTGATAGGAATTGATAGCAATTGAAAAATAAAATCGAATCTAATCACCGTCAATAAATATTGTATATGTATATTTTTATATTAATCTAGCATAACAAATTTCAAATAGCATTTTTGATTTGTTACTCGCAATTCATTGAACGTATGCGAAGAACACATTGGAATCTTGAAGACGATAGATCCCCTTATACAAACTAGACATGAAAGACGTCAGACGTTTAAGATTATAATTTTTGGATTGTATAATTATAACTGTTTATAAAGTATAAATATAATGGAATGGTCATTAAAAGTGATGGGTTGCCACAAACTTTGAATGACACGACATTTTAGCGTCACGTGATGTCATTGCGGTTTTGGGATTGTCAGCTATCAATGAAACTTGGTTATATAAACCGATTGAAACATACAATCAGTATCATTTAGAGATATAAAATACTTTCAATAAGAACAAAATTCATATTGAAATAGATACAGATTGTTTCCTTTGTGGTTTGTGAAATACTTTAGCGAGTAAGTTTAACTTTAATACGACTGATTGTGATCTATTTGTGTATATTCGGATATTTAGTCATACCATATTTGTTGCGCAACAATAGGCTATCTATTCATTATATTGTTTTGAAGGATCAAATTTTAAGACTACATTTATTTAATATTCTGCTTTATAATATCAAATTTTACCACTGTATATATTAATGGCTTGTTTGTTTTTTTTACATCTCGTGTTTCAAGTACTTTTTTATTTATAGCTTAGCAGAGATAACACATGCACTAAACAAGAACCTTTGGTCAAGGTCGCTTTGAACTGTGAAAAAATAATATGCAATCGTAGACAATCTTATCTTTAATTTGTTAATTGGTTAAAAAAAGAACTGATGCAAAATCTGTCCAAATATGGTAGTTCCTCTAATGTGAATCATTCTTTATCATTATCACGTATTATCATTTTTGTTATCCACTTTTGAAGTACCCTTGAATAGATTGTAAACTTATTTGTATGTGATATGCTTACCAAAGATGTTTGCAAATCGCAGACACCATTTTTAAAAACCATATACTTATGATTCTTTCTTTTATCTTTTCAGTGGGTTTAACATCAACCGATAACATGATTATAGAAAACAACGACGACCCCAGAGTGCCTCCCATAGCACCATTCCATACGTCACTTCCGGATGGTCGAGACGTCATCATCAAGTCAATGACAGACATCCAGTTGTCAGAGACGTTCACCATGATCCAAGAAGCTGCCCAACAGAGTAACGGCTTCGGCATCGACGAATATACCAACGAAAATGAATTCCGAGAAGACATCAAAGGCGGATATTGCTTCGCTGTGACCATCGCCGATTCCAACGAACTCATCGCCTCCTTCATCCTCGCCATCAGCAAGTTCTACCGAGGCTCAACTGTCGCTGATCCTTTCATCATCGTCAAATCCACGGAACGAAGAAAGGGCATCGGCGAATTTTGTCTCCAGAATGCTGTCGACTTCGCCTCAGATCTTGGCTTCATTGGCATGTACATCGACTGCTTCAGCAACAACAAAGGCATGCTGAAGATCATCGAGAATACTGGTGGCTTTGCTCGAGTGGGTTGTCTGCCCCTTGGTGGTCAGATGAAGAATGGTACAATAGTTGGTTCAGTGATCTTCTATCGAGACTTACGACGAGAGGAATAAGCAGGACCTGTCCCACATGGTTAACCGATTACCTCAGTGGACACCTTCAAACCATATCATTAGCGGCCAGCTAACTCAGACACAGCAGGCACGTGATCGGTTGGAAACCACACGAGGATCAGCTCGCCGGTTACCTAGATACAGCTCGACAAAACATTTTCGAAGTGCAATCGGCCTCCTTCGTTTATTGCTGCTAAGATTGCTGTTACTAGCGTGGACTTATGAGTACAACGTGCAAACCACTAAAAGGGAGATGACCCCTGGTCGGACGAAACACCTGACTGACCTAGCCTACACACCCGGGCATTGTATAGCATAACGCTTATCAGAGAGACGATTTTTTTGTGAGAACATTTTGATTTAAACGATCTGTTGGTGAAGCATAATGAACATTTTGAGCATTTTTTTGTGAACATTTGTGCATATTTTTGTGAACATTTGTGCATATTTTTGTGAGCATTTGAACAATTTTAAACCAAAGATATTAAAAGGAAGAACCAGCGATAGGTTTTGACTGTACGATTCAAAATGGAAGTAGAAAATGGAGAAGAAGAGACGAAATGGAAGGATGTTCTAACCCTAAGAACATTTGAATGCTTGGCTTGACTATGGAAAGAACATAAAGAGATTGTTTTAAAGAACATTTAAGTGATACGAACACATTCCAAAACGAAAATCAAAAAGAATATTTGAGTAATGAGATTTGGACGAATGGTTAGACGAAATGGCAATGATTTTTGTTTGTTTTTTTTAATGATTCCATAGTGCCAAAGTCACTTAATATATTTTTTATCTTTTACGCCGTTTAAATAAATATTATGTTATTTTAATAAATGAAAAATTGAATTTAAAAAAATTATATCTTTAACTTTATCCAATTGAACCTTAAAGCAGAAAGAGGGGTAGCTAGTGGCAGCGAGGGGAGGAATCGGGGGTATTGAGTCATAAGCACAGATAGATCAGGAGACTCATTCACAAAAGTAAACCATCAAAATTATCGGTAGAGTGAAGGCGATACCTTTTCATGGTACGAATTATTGTGAAATGAAGCCTATATGATGAGGACTTGACAGACCTCTTGTGTCATGCCACAGCATGCGAGACAACAGTTCATGGTTGTCAATGTTCAGAGCACTGAATAGGACAAGAAGAAAGGAGGTAGCAAGCGGCTACTTACACTTAGTGAGACGACAAAACCTGTTTACACTTCATGAGTCGACAAAACCTGGTTACACATTATGGGTCGACAAATCCTGGTTACACTTTATGAGTCGACAATACCTGGCTACACATTATGAGTCGACAAAACCTGGTTACACTTTATGAGTCGACAAAACCTGGTTACACTTTATGAGTCGACAATACCTGGCTACACATTATGAGTCGACAAAACCTGGTTACACTTTATGAGTCGACAAAACCTGGTTACACTTTATGAGTCGACAATACCTGGCTACACATTATGAGTCGACAAAACCTGGTTACACATTATGAGTCGACAAAACCTGGTTACACAGTACGAGTCGAAAAAACCTGGTTACACATTATGAATATACGAAACCTGGATACACTTTATGAGTCGACAAAACCTGCTTACACATTATGAGTCGACAAAACCTGAATACACTTTATGAGAAGACAAAAACTGGTTACATTCTATGAGTCAACAAAAGCTGGTTACATTTTATGAGTAGACAAAACCTAGTTACCAATGCAAAAAAAAAAAAGGATGACATAGGCTAGTGAATGAAAGAATGCGACTCCAGTGAAGCATTAAACTGGCCACGATGTTGTTCTTTTGGTTTCCCTCTAGCCATTCGATGCACCAAAGGAACAAATTCTCAACTCGGTTAAAAAGAACTAAACTGAAGTGTTTTGTCAAGTAAGGACGATGATCCTAATTTGATCGTCAATAATGAATTGATAACTACTTCACGGCGTCGATAAAACAAATATCATTTGTCAGCTTCTGCAAATATTTTTAACTTGAAACTAAGTAGGAAGAAAAGAAGTTTATAATTGTCACTAGTAATAAGAACCTTGATGACGTCATACCAGCTGAGTTCCCTATCCACAATAACATATTGGTCATTGAACTTGAGGGGTTTCAGGAACCAGAAAGGATTGCAAGTGGCGTATCTTGGATATTTTTGGATTGAAGACAAGGCGATTGATACCTAAATTCGAACGTTCTGTGGGCCAAACTTTCAGATATTAATCTGTATCGAGTATCTAAAGGTGCTCACATATAAAAGGCACAGATGTAGAAAGTAACGGAACCTACCAAGGGTGGTAGTGCAATAATAAATTATGGTCATGACTCTCTTGTATATAAGATGCCCCAAAACCTCTTCCATTAAACCCAGTCGTTATTTACTGTTTTTAATAAACGCCCGTGTCGAGAGTTAATAAATAACACTGCGTATCAAAACACTTGTGGATGTCATTTGAACAAATATTATGATGAAAGCTTATCAGCAATACATCACCTTTTCAATTGGGTTATCTAAGAAAGACGGATCGACCTCGGACCGGTACGGCAGCAGTACCTTTAGCCGGCTACCCTAGAAGTACCTGGTTGGTGAACAGGTGTGTTAAACTCAATTGGGGTCAAGCTGAAGGGGCCACCCCAGAAACTTTAATACGAAAGGAAAGGGGTTTTATCTTGCCCTTTCAATAAACTTGGTATACCATTTTTCAGGGTAGCACGATTCTGGGAACAGATTGTCGAACAGGTGCGCTGTCGAACAGGTGCACGAGCTTCAACTGATGAAGGAACGATCTAGTTGTTGTTTGAGCTATATATACACCTTCAAACCACTGATGACACTAGAAACCTAAAGCAGCGAAGACCAGGTTAGACCCTGTGCTGTTTTGGATAGAACAAGCGTAAATGAAATGACCAAGGAACAGTGCCTATTTAACTTGACTGCCTTGGTCCACCACAGACGTCCAGAGAACCCTTCCTGGTGTAGAGATGTAGAGGTTCTGATCATGGTTGCATATAGCACGTAATATTTTCTTCGGTAGTTGCCTGAACTCTGTAAATTACCGGGTAAAGATGACGAAACCGTAGAAATAGAATCTTTTTAGTATAATCTAACGTCATAACAGCACCTTAGGCAATATCCTCTCGTATATGGATTATTGAATGATTATACTCTTATCAAGTATGTTCTTCTTTCATTTGCTTTCTCAACGAAATATCGACAAACTGAAAATAGCGCCTTCTTAGGGCATCGTCCTCTAAGCAGACTGTACGACAGAGCAATCCGATTCTTATGACGTCTTTCGCTCGATATGGAACCAGCGATATTGTGGCGAGCCTGACAAATTTGATATGTAGTGTACTGCCGACTTTCTGAGATTATGTCACAAGCAAACAATGAAGGCATTGTCCAGTGTGAGATATCAATTGCGATTACCAGAAAATGTGAGACTATGTAAATCTCTGAAACAGAGGGAGGTTATCATGATTAAGGTTATATGAAAAGAAAGTAGAGCAAAATTTTATCCCATTTTCTTGGTCTTGTCTGAGTAGGTCAACGCTACAAGGACGTAATGCCCCATCTCATTAAACTGAACTACAGATCGTGGGGTTTAAGGTTTGGTTTATCAACAAGGTACAAAATGGTTATGAAAAAGAACACTACATTTAAGATTTGACTCTTTGGTTTGAGATTAAAGTCGTATATTTCCAATGATAAGAACCTCTCATAGTACACCACCATCGATCCAGGATGTTGACCTACAAGTTTAGATTTATGGCACTGAGATGACATCAGCTGGTCGAGTAGATCTCAAACTGTTCACCGCAAACATCAGTTTAACCTAATCCGGTCACTGGACGTATTAACTCTACCCTGAGATCGATTGTTATTAGGACTACATCCTGGTTCAAAATACAATAGGATGAAAAGGGGGTATGGGGCTGAGTAGCATAGGTATGGGCAGGGCACCATGGGTAGGGTCACGGCAAGGCAGTGGAGTATAAGGTAAAATAAGAGTAGCATATGGGTAGGAGAGCATGCAACAAAGACTATCGGCAGACATTGACATTTACTATGCGTAAAGAGAAACAAAAGACAGGGACAACCAACCAACAGGATAAGACAGGAAAGGACAGCGTGCGAAGTTCACATAGTCAATAGTACTTGTTTGTCATTCCTTTCAGTTGACCTTAGCTCTACATTCGCTAGAAGGCATTGCCTGCTTAATCCTTTCACAATCAGAACACCCACTGAGTTTCTACGAAGACATACAGGTGAATGCTCGAGAAAGATCTGACAGCATCTGGCGAACTCCGGTCGCCCACAGTTTTCGTCGTCGGTGGTATCTAAACCGATTTAGGGGATACTGCGTTTAAAAAACTTTGACATCATTTAAACATCCAAAACAAGTTTAACGGAGACAAATATTATTGGGCAAGGATCTTGGAACAATTGCTGACCAAACCAAAATACTGTCCACAAACAAAATGCTGCCAACGACAAACTGCTATTATACCCTATTCAAAATTGACGGTGACAGAATGGTTTCTGATGACCACTACTCCACATTGACCTTGACAGAATGGAACCCCTACCCCACACGCATAATTCCACAACAATACCCAACAAGACCCCAATTTCCACCCCGCCCCTCATACGCCTATCCCTAATCTATAAGTTATCAATAATATTATGAAGTTTGAGTCAGCTTAGTAAATAGATGCTGGGGATAAACATCGTCCTTATCATCCATCGGCCGTCTCACTGATAAAATAGAGATAAGATAGGGCAACAATTGACAAAACAAATTAAAATAGAGTTTTACACCCGTCTGTCCTTAGAGACTGTGCATCATAAAGAGCAATGTCAGAAATAAATTGAAGATCTATACTCGCTGTTCTTTCACCAAGAGTAGGAATCTCTACGATGAAACGATTCTCAGAATACCACCAAAATGCCCAAAAAGATTATGCACAATATTTGGTCTTGCTGAAGGATGATCGATATGCCAAACCATAAGAACGATGGGGTCGATGATCTTAGAGAACGTCTGAACAACATAATAATCGATCTGTTTCTTCTAAGAAAGATTAACCAATGATGTCTCTTGAGAAGCTTTAGGAAGGGCACTGATCTTAAACTTACAGACTGTTGAAAACAAGACTTATGGATCTGTACCATTTAAAGAAAGATTACACCAATAACTTCAGATAGGCCGATGCTCCTGTCCTTATAGATCGTTTAAAAGACGACCTTATCGATTCATTATTCCAAAAATTCTTTAGAAACGTTGGGAAGGGCAAAGACCTTACTTTAATAGACAGTTTAAAACACGACTTATAGATCTGTACCATATTAAGAACTAGGGGTATATCGATAAACGTATTATGATACGAGGCCATAAACGGTAACATCAATTTGATTATCCTATATTTGTCTTAATGGTCAATAGTACTAGTAAGAGTGATAAGACTGTCAATATCCAAAATAACTACCAGATATTAAGGTCTTTAAATATCATTTAGCAATTTTAGCACAATATATAGACACAGCTTTATGGAACAACAATCACTGGTTAAAGTTTTATGCAACGTGGGGAAACATGTCGAAACGTTGCATCAAACTTTAACAGGTGGTTGTTGTTCCTTAAAGCTGTGCCTATACTCCAGATATTAGATATTGGAGTTTTACGTTCTATTGCCATTTATCAAATTAAGTTACTGAAATGAGTATGTTTCACACCTTATGGTATTATGGGGGTGGGGAGCGGGCAGGGGCCCCAGATTTGTCAGAGTAGGGGAGATTACAGGCAATTCTTTCCGTATATGATGTGATATGAAATTTGAAAGAAGTGGAAGGCAAAACA